AGCCATCCTCCCGGGCTGCCTCCCCAACTCGGTCCAGTTCCAGTGCCAGCCAGAGCAACCACAGCTGCGCCTCCATGCCATCGTCTCCTGCAACCCCAGCCAGCGGAGCCAAGGTAGGGTTTTGGGCGTGCAGCCTTTCCCTTTGGTCCTTTAGGAGCCGGTGGCCCCCAGACCCGTCCCGGTGAGGTGAGATGCTGCTGGAGGTGCGAGGAGGAGGAAGGCTGGGGCCTCATCAGCTGTCGTGGCCTCTGTTGGAAGATGTTCGTGGTGGGGTCTGCAGGAACAGCCCCGCTGGCTGTGCGGGGCGGGCAGGGTGGGATGGCTCAGGACGGTTTCCACCTCGTTCCCCTGCACCACGTCTGAGCAGAGCTCCTGCGGGCGGGCGATCGCAGCTGCTGCAGCCCCGAGTGGGGCCAGTGCGCAGGGAGCAGCGACTGCCCGGCCTCTGCTGTCCCATCACACCGTTTGCCATGCATGGTTTAATTTCATCATTTGTTCGTTTGTTTTTCATTTTTGAATTTATGTATTCCCCGTTTGGTTCTCTCGTTTCATTTTAGTGCTGTTCTCCCCTCATTCCAGATACTTTTCTGTTCCATTTTTTTTTTCACTCACTCCCGCCTCTCCCCCCTCTCTGGATTTTCCATTTCACAGACTCCACATCACTTCTCTCGATGTTATGACAAACCCTGGTTGATAAACAGTAAAGCGGGCACCCCTCTGAGGGGATTCGATTATTCCGACTTCCAGCTCTCGAGCTCCGAGGTAGGGTATGGTCTCGTAGCCCCGAGGACCTGGCGGCAGGCTGGAGTGCGGCTCACAGACAAGTCCTGCTTCCTTGCCTGCCTAACGCTTTCCTTTTGGTAGAGCAGCGCTTTTAGCACCGCTGTCACAAGGCCTGTTAGCGTTTTTCATGGGTTTCTAACTCGGATTAAGCAAAGTGCCAACCTTAGAGTAAAGCACAACGTGCAGACGGCTTGTGATGCACATTTACCTCTTGTCAAACCAAAAGATTAACATTTATCACGTTGTGCTTTTAAAAAAGAGAATATTTCCAAGCTTTACCAGCCTTTCAGCACTCAAAATAGGCCGCGATTGGCATTCAAAAACTGAAATTCAGCAGCCGAGTTGAGACTTGAAAATCAGCTACAGCGCATGCACAGTAACCGCTGCCTTCGTGTCACGGAGCGCTCGTGTTACCGCCTGGTGTGTCCGGCAGTAACGCAGCCTGGCTGCACTTGGATGCTCCAAGGAGGATGAATTCGGGCCGACACTTCAATCTGCCGAACGTCCCAGCCTCCTTGCCGACTTTTCTGACCCCGCGAATATGAAATACTTGGGTAGATTTTAGTGATTCGCTGATGGCAATGGCAAAATAACTTGATCTTGCTTGAAAGTGCTTTCAAACGGAAAAGGCGTTCTTCTAGATCCGCAGAAGGTCAGGAGTACTTTCTGAACTGCCCTAAACCGCCTGCTTGCTGCTGTAACTTGTTTCTGGAATAGGATCAAGGATGAGAATCGAGATCTCTGATGATGGGACCGGTCCCTTCCAATCCCGTGTCAATGGATTGTAATTCCCACTGAGGCCGAAGGAGAGCCCGCTGCTTGGCTCCCCTTCTGCGTCCCTCTCCCCCATCGTGGCTCCAGTTTCATGAGATGTTCAGATTTTTTAAGCTTCCCCAAAATCACAGAGTCGCAGGGAGCTGAGGGGAACCTCTCCAGCTGCTGCCTTAAGCTCCTCGAGAGCCGCCCTGCGGCACCGCAGCACACCGGCGGGGAGGTTGGGGTGACAGGGGCAAGGTTTGGGGCACACCATGGGCTGGTGCTTCCCTGCAGCACCCTCACACCGCCCCAAAACTGAGCTTTCGTTCACGATAGAAACTGGAGCCTTGTTCCGGACAGATGCGGGCACCTCTCCCTCCCCGCACCCCCCCTCCAAGCCCCCGCTTTGTTCTGCAGTGCGGGAGCAAAGCTGCGCTGTGCTGCTCCCCATCTGCAACATCTTAAAGGTCACGGAAGCCCGTTTCATACGTGTGGCACAGGACACGACCGAAGCCTCATGACCGAAGCTGATCCACAGCCTCCCGCGTGTCCGTTTGTTGCTGGTGCTGAGCTGCCCGCATATTTTGCTTGATGTCCCTCTCCCTTTGGGAGGTGACCCTGGTGACCCTGCTGTCCGGCTGGGCAGCAGCTTTGCTTTTGTTTCAGCCCGCAGTGCCCAAACTGCCGCTGCCGTCCTTGTTTTCAGGATCCGGCCGCTTTTTGTTTTCCTTTTTCCAAGCGCTGCTGAAACGCCAGCTCGAGTTCTCCGTGACCATTAAGATGGATGTTTCATAAACGCCCCAGTCCTTTTACTGACCTGTGAGGTGACCTCGGCCGGGTACAGCAGGTGGCCGCGGTGCCCCCTCAGCGATGCTCCCCGTGTGCTTCCTCCGCAGGTGACCCCGGCCGCGGGCAGCAAGCTGAAGCGCCCCACCTTCCACTCCAGCCGGACCTCGCTGGCGGGGGACACCAGCAACAGCTCCTCGCCAGCCTCCACGGGTGCCAAAACCAGCCGGGCAGGTAAGCTGGGGGCTGGGGCTGTTCCTGCTTAATTTGGGAGAGCAAATACCAAGTACCCAGGGAGCTGGCAGAGCCTGCAGCAAGGGGGGACACTGATGCGTGCCGGTGCTCACGGGGCTCTGGGCTCCCCCCGCAGATCCCAAAAAGACAGCCAGTCGTCCCACCAGCCGTGCCGGGAGCCGCGCGGGCAGCCGGGCCAGCAGCCGGCGGGGAAGCGACGCCTCCGATTTCGACCTGCTGGAAACGCAGTCAGCGTGCTCGGACACTTCGGAGAGCAGCGTAGCCGGCGGGCAAGGCAGCTCGCGGCGAGGCATGGCGAAACCCTCCAAAATCCCAACCATGTCCAAGAAAACAACCACTGCCACCCCAAAAACTCCAGGCCCCAAGAGATAATACTGTACCCACGCCCTCCTGAAAGAAAGAAAACCCAACCTGTGTCCAATTTTTAACCCTACTACGTACATTGGATGTATATTTATTCTAAATGGGAGAAACTATATTGTTAAAAGTGTAAAAGAAAGTTGTGTTATGGAAGCTGCCTTATTTGTTTTTTTCCTTTTTTGTAAGTTACTATTTTCATGTGAATATTTATGTAGATAAAAATTGCCTCTTGGTGACCCCTGTTCAGAGAGGGGCCTGGAAAACTGAGATGTGGGAAGGAAAAAAAAAAAAAAAAAGAAAAAAAAAAGGAAGCAAAAAAGGTCAAGATGTGAAAGTGTAAAGAAAAACTAAACTATAAATAGGATTTCTGCGCGGTGCAGGGTGTGAACCTGCTTTATCTTTTAGGATTGTTTCCTAAATGCATCTTTATAAACTTAACTTGCTGTCTCAGCAAGGTAAATTATATTTAAAAACAAAGACCTGAATCCTACAGTGTTCAAGGAACTCTCTTTTGTAAATCACAGATACCTCAAGCAGAGAAACATGAGGTGAGGGGATTTGGGGCTTATGTTTCCATTTTTTTAAAGCTATGTGATTTTACCTGAAGAAAGCGGAGTTTGACAATAAAATTTGCACACACTACAGCTAAGGTCATTATAACTGCTGTCTTTAAAATACTGTCCCGGCAACTTCGTTTTTAAAGAACAAAAATTGCTGATGGGTTTGGGGAGGGGGTTCACGATAACGCTGTCCAGAAGAGAGCACGCTGGTAAGATTGCAGGTTTGGATCACAGACACATCCCTTAGCGGTGGTGGGTCCCGCGGGTTAGAGGATTCTTCTGGATTGATGGCCTAAGAGACGACCACCTTGTTCCTTACAGGATTGCTATTTATCTGCATCTCTTTTCCTATTTATTATTTAACTGGTCATTCCACTTCCAACCAGGCTGAGATTGATGTGACCTCTGCTCCTAGAAGAAATCTGGACTTACACGCACAGTTGCTTGTCCTTGAAATGAGTCTCACCAGCACACTCGCTACAAGTCCTGTCTGGCTTTTGTACGCTACTTTTCCTTTGTAATAAAATCGAACTGACCAAGTGACCAGGAGATGGGCGGAGGGAGAGGGCTCAGCGGAGCCCCTGTATTTATTAAATATTGTTCCTCCGGCTCTGACCGTGTTGCTGTGTGATTCTCTCAATTGGTTTAAATTGAGGCAAATCTGAAGCTCTACCAATGAATTGTTTAAAAACCAGACACATTTTTGTATTAAAATTGCTTGCGGTAATAAACAATCTTGCCTCCTACTTTATTCCAGAGTCTCAGTGTTTGAGTCTGGGTGAGGGAGCTGTCCCGCACGCCGCCGTGCCTCCACCTCGCAGCAGCCACAGGGCGCCTGCACGCAGCTTCCCTTGCAGAGCGGTGCAGGGACCGGCTTCACTGCCAGCCCCTGAACTGGGGGGGCTCTGGGGGCTGTGCCAGGCGTGTGGGTGCCTGTGGGTGAGGTGGGTGGGTGCCCACCGCCTGCTGGAGTGGGCATTTGCCTGGCGGGATCACCTGGTGGGGTGTGCGCTGGTGGGGCTGGGTGCTGGGGAGGTGGGTGCCAAGCAAGGTCAGCACCCAGGAGAGGGCACGGGGTGGGTGCCAGGCACGGCGGCAAGAGAGGTGGGAGCACAGGGTGAGGGGTGCAGTGTCCATGGGGTTGGGTGCCCGTGGACTTGGGTGTCTGGGGGTGGGTGCCTGCAGGGGAGGGTGCCCATGGTTTTGGGTTTCTGGGGGTGGGTGCCCGTGGCTTTAGGTGTCTGGGGGGGGGGGTAACCCGAGGCTTTGGGCACCCGCAGCGGTGAGCATCCCAGGGCCGGGTGCCCGTGGGGGCGGCTGCCCAGCGGCGCGCCCTTTGCCCCGGGGGCGGCCGGGCGGGGAGCACCGGGGCCGGGGCGGTGCCGCCGGCGGGCCCGTCCCTTTCCCTCGCCCCGCCGGGGCGGACCGGGGCCGGGACCGGGGCCGGGGCCGCTCGGGGGCCGCTCCGCACCGCACCGGGGCGGCGGCGGCGGGGGCGGGGGGTGGGGGGGCGGCCCGGGCGGCGGCGGTGCCATGGGGCCGGGGCGCGGGGCGGCGGCGGGCCGGGGGCCTCTGGGCGCCCTGGCGCTGCTCTGGGCGGCGGCGGTGCTGTGCCAGCTGGGCAGCGGCAGCGTCCTCCGCCGCCGCCTCCACGCCGCCGGTTTCCTCCAGCGGCGGCTGAGCGGCGGCGAGCGGCGGGACGTGCAGCGGGAGATCCTGGCCGTGCTCGGGCTGCCCGGGCGGCCGCGCCCGCGGGCCCCCGCCGCCGCCCGCGCCCCCGCCGCCGCCGCTCCGCTTTTCATGCTCGACCTGTACCACGCCGTGGCCGGCGAGGAGGAGGCGGAGGAGGAGGAGGCGGTGTCGCGGCCGGTGCTCACCGGGCTCAGCACCCAGAGCCCCCCGCCCGGCAGCGTCGTCAGCCGCGCCGACACCGTGGTCAGCCTCGTCAACATGGGTGAGCGCGGCCCCGGGGGGCGCGGAGGGACCGGGGAGCACGGGCAGGACGGTAGAGGAGGGGAGCGCACGGGAGGGAGCCGAGACGGGAGGAGCGGGGCGCACGGAGGCACCGGGGCGCACGGAAGGACCGGGGGGTACTGAGGGACCGGGGCGCACCGGGGAGCACCGAGGGACCGGGGCGCACTGGGGCGCACGGGAGCAGCCGGGCTGCACGGGGCGCACCGGGCGCGGACACCGTTGCGCCGGGGGGGAACAGCACCGGGGGTCCCGGGGAGCGGCGCAGTGCGGGACGCGCGGCACCCGCTGGGCGCACCGCGGCGGACCGGGCAGAGCCCCCCCGGCCCGGCACGGAGCGGGGCTGCGGCGGCCGCGTTACCGGGAGCGGAGCCGGGAGTGGAGCCCAGCGCCTTGCAGCGGGTGCCCGGCTCGGCCGTCGGGGCTGGCGGCGGCACCGAACCGGTTGCACCGACGGCCGCGAGCATCCGTCGCTCCCGGGGTGCTCTCCCGGTGCCTCCCTGCCCACAAAGCCCCTTCCGCACACAGCTCGGTCCCGTAGCGGCGGGAGGGGGCTGCGAGGGGCCCGGTGGCCGCGGGCTGGGGGCGTGCGGGGCTCGCTCGGTCCCTGCTATGGACGGCCCAGAGTTGGGGGGGGTCCGAGATTTCCCCAAGCGGCAGCCACCTCCTGAGCCTCCCCCGGCCCCCCCAGCACGCTCCCCACCATAACGAAGCTGCGAACCGACGGTGCACACGGAGCGGGACGTGCGGGGGGCAGCAGCAAAGGGGACGCAGTGGGACACCAAATCCCGGCTCAGAATAAAATCCTCAAGGTTGCTAATTACTGCTGGAATCCCGTCGGGCTGGTTACGGAGCAGTGCCGGGCTCCAGAACCGTCCCATTGCCAGACAGCTGCGAGTGGCAGGGAGAGCAGAGCCGTTTCCAGCCGGCACCCCCGGGGCCGTGAGCACTGGGACAACTGGGGTCCCACTGGGGCAGGCTGAACAGGCGGGATGCCCAGCCCAGGCTTTTGGATAGGCAGCTTTTCCCTGCCGCTGCTCTCTGCTTTAAGGGGTGTCCATGTGGGCATGTGCCCCTCTCCAGGCATCCCTGGACAAGCACGAGGCTTTTGGGGGGGCATCTGTGCCAAGGCAGGGGGCAGGGGGTGTCTGCAGGCACAGGCGGGGGGCTCAGCACATCAGGGGCAGCCAGGACCAGGGGAGCTGGATGCTGGGGCATCAGATCCCAGCTCCCCTCAACATGAGCACCGAAAAGTGCTTTAAAATGAACAGGTTTGGCTACAGGCACAGCCGGTGGGTGCCTGGGAGGAGCGGTGCTGGCCCAGGGGTGCCCACGCCGCTCCCCTTCCTGGTGCTCCTGGAGCAGCAGGGAGAGCTGGGGCGCAGAGTTTCAGCCTTCAATTTGAATGGCTTTGAATTCTGCGGCTTCATGAGTCCCTTCATGTTAATTAAATAATATATTTTTTTTGTGGGAGAAGGCTAACTTTAATTTGCATGCATAATTTTTTGCACAATTATCCTGATGGGACATGCAAATGGGGTAAGTCAGCGCTCCATTAGGCACCTGGACCGCTCTGCTCCCGCCCGCAGAGCCCTGTGTGAGCCGGGCATGTGCGCGGCTCCCAACGGCACGCCTTGGGAGGGGGACACGCCAAAATCCCTGGCACATGAGCCTGTCCCAGTTCGGCCAGGCAGTGCCTGTGCCTGCCGGCCAGGGCAGGACACACAGCCGGGGGCTCAAGCCCCTCCAGGCCACGCTGCGTGGGGCAATGGGTGGCGGTGGCACCTTGGCCACCTTCGGTTGGGTTTGGTGGCCACGGCTCTGCTCGTCCCAGCCCAGCTTTGGGAGCTGTCCTGGCCCCGGGCTGGGCCATCACGGGCTGAGATTGCAGCAGTGGGATGTGCCCCCGTGCATGAATGGGTGCTGGTGCTCTGTATGCTCTGTGTTCACAGGCTGGAGCAGGAGCCCAGCTGCATTTGCAGTGCTTGGGAGAGCTCCTAAATCTCTCCCTGCTTAGGAAAGCCTCTGGAGGTTATTTTTTTCCTGCTTGCAAGTGAAGGACAGCATCTTCCTTGCATCTCCTTTAAAATTATTTTAAGATTCAGCGTACTTGATGTGGTTGAATATCCTGGCATTTCCTTTTAATTTAGTGTCTGAAATGATCATGGGGACCATCCAGGGCAGCCAGGACTAGTAATTACGACTGATGCGCAGTTTATAGAAACACCGCGCACACAGAAGGTTTGCAGGGAAGAAGTGCAGCTAAAAATAAGGTGGGGAGCGAGGAAAAGGCGTCCCCATCGCCCCGCGCCTGCCAGCCAGGAGGGGAGCGGGGGCGCAGGGCTGGGCACGCAGCGGGGCTCAGCACGGCAGGAGCTGGACGGCTCTGCTGCCATTTTATGTGGGTTTATTTGCTTTTCCTATTATTTAGGGGTGGGGGGGTGCACAAGGCATGGCCGTGACGTTCATGGCTGGGGAAATACACAGCAGCCCCGAGGGGTGAGACGGTGCCGGCAGAAGGAGGGGGCACGGAGAGCAGGAGCCTGGGCTGGGTTTTTTTAGCGTCCCATCCGCAATCCGGATAATCCGCCCACAGGTAATTGCGGGGTGGCGGCGCGGCTCAGCCACCCTCGAATCAATAGCCGGGTGCCCAGGCTGAAGGGGGGGCCCCGTGCCCGTGCCCCCCCACCAGCAGCAGCCGTCCTGCCTGGGTAAAAAGGGCACCGGGTGCTTTCGGGACACGGCGCCTGCTCCCCCATGGCCGGTTCATCATTTTGCACACATTTATAGCTTTGCCAAGGACAGCAATATTAAACCTCACTGATATCAAACCGTGCTGCTGTTTGCTCATTGTCCCATCCCCATCACCTTCACCCTGCTGCTCTACGCCCCCATCAGCACAAGGGAGGACAAATTTTGGCCCTGCCCTTCCGAGGCTGTGCTCCAGCAGCCGGTGCAGGGGGCACGAAGCTTTGCCTGCCCCCTCCCCGCTGCAGGGCAGACGCCTCGCCCGGAGCTGCGTCCTTGTGGCACGGGCAGCAGGGAGCACCTCGGTCCTGTCTGAGAACTGCCACTGCCCTTCCCTGGCTGCGTGGTCATAAATCAGGTGGGGTGAATTTAAATGATGCTGGTAAAGCCTCAAATTGCAGCTGCTCGGTGTGTTTGAAGACCTCAGGGGGGGCTTTATGAGCCCCCGCTGCATCGCTCATTGCTCCCCGCGGGAAGGGAGCTGGGTTTGAGAGGGCTCTGCCCGTACCTGGCTACAGGCACTGCTGCCACGCGTGGTGATGGCCTGGGAGAACACACGGGGACCGCAGTTCAGTTCTCCGGGTTCCCTGAGGATGTCACCAGCCGGTAACAGGGAGAAACCCAGCCCCGGTGCTTTGCTGTGGCCGTGGGCAGCCGGTGAGGGACCTGGGTGACCCAAAGTGCCCGAGGGGCACCAACCTGGGGCTGGGGCCCCACGGGACCTCACTCCAGGTGCTCACCAGCTGCAGGGGGGGAGATGACAGGGACTGCTCAGTTTTTTCATGGGGTTCGAAGGGTTTTACAGGAGCAACGAGGCAGCAAATGCTCCAGCAGGACCTCTCCCAGCTGGGGCACACTCAGCTGCCCGCGGTGGCTCGGTGCAAGGAACGGAACCGCACAAAGGGCACCAGCGCGAGGGGGCTCGGCCAGCTGGGGGCCGGCACCCTCAGCCCCAGGGTGGCTTCCAGAGCCCACCCAGGGCAGTGGGGAGACCCCAGGCACCGCGGTGGGCTTGGGGGTCCCCGGTGTCCCTGGGGTGCGTGGCCCAAGACCCGGCTCCCGGTGCATCCCCGCGGCACCTCCCGCGCAGCTGGCGGCCGGCGGCAGCAGGAAGCTCTCTCCGCATCCGCCCCGGGCCGCCTGGCCCCGTGCTTTTTTTAAAACATAGCTTGTGGTGAGCCCAGTAGCTGGAGGGAATGTGGTGTCCTGTTTTGTTTTCAAAGCAAAAACGGAGGGAAAAAAAAAAAAAGACGGAAAGATCCGTGGATGCGTAATTAAAATCTGAGCGTTCGGTTTGAAGAGAGGCACTCCGCTGCCCCCACGTATAGGGGGGGGGTCAGCTTTGTGGTGTGGTACGTTTGGGATGTTCCCCCCCCGGAATTGGTTAAAATTTGCATTTAAACATGTCCGTTTAATTATTTATTTGTGTGTTTGTTTGGTATAAGTGAGCACCAGCTCAGATTTGTTGCAGTTCTCTTACGCCTGAAGCAGGAGGAGCTTTAATCACTTTAATTACGTTCAGTCATGGCAGTCTGGAACATTTTTAAAGAACAATTTGAAGAAAATAATTACATATTAGTGAAACCGTGTGGGGATGCCTTACCGTAAAGGAACACGGTGTGTTTGTTCTTTACGGACATTTAAAAAAAAAAAAAAAGTTTCTTTTCCCAAAAAGCACCAGATTTCTGCAGAAAGGAGACACTCGGTAGAAAGCGAGGGTTTGTTTTTACAGAGCAGTTGTGTGGTCAGTCAGAGAGGTGGGAACCTGCAGCAGAGCTCGGTGGGGCAGGGCAGGGGTCAGCGGGATTTGTCCCTGAACTGGGGGGATGTGGGGCTGCTGGGACCCAGGGGCTGCGGGCTCTGGGGGCTCCCTGACCCCTCTGCTCTGCAGTCGAGCAGGACCGGGATACGTCCTCCCCGAAGCCGTACTGGAAGGAGTTCAGGTTCGACCTGACGCAGGTGCCCACGGGCGAGTCGGTGACGGCCGCTGAGTTTCGCATCTACAAGGCGCGGGGTGCCACCCGCCACGCCAACAGCACCCTGCACATCAGCATCTACGAGATCGCAGCCGAGCACTCCAACAGGTGCGGGACGGGGACGGGGACAGGGACAAGGATAGGGATGGGATGGGGATGGGGACAGGGATGGGGCCCCCAGCCAGTGCCGGCTCTGGCACTTGCCTTTCCCAGCGCCGTGGCAGTGCCGAGGGCAGCAGCCGTCCCATCCCGCAGCCGTCCCATCCCGCAGCCGTCCCATCCCGCAGCCGTCCCATCCCACAGCCGTCTGTTCCCACGGCATCCCCGGGCAGTGACACACCCGGCGTTTCGGCCGGGCGGGGAGGGCGCTTCGCTTTTCCCAGGGCAGCTGCCAGGGTGTCACCGGCACACACGGCACGGCCGCGGGCACCGTCCTGACCCTGCAGCGCCGGGATCTGCACGGGCACGGACAGCGGGGAGTCATTTCCCTGACCGGCCGTGGGCTGCCCTTGCCTTCGGGTGCTGTTACTCACGGGTTTCTTTCTCCCCGTTTCCCAGGGAGTCCGACTTGTTCCTGCTGGACACCCAGGACCTGCGCGCGGGGACCGAGGGCTGGCTGGTCTTTGATGTCACGGCCGCCAGCAACCACTGGTTGGTGGATCGGAAATACAACCTGGGCCTGCGGCTCTACGTGGAGACGGATGATGGTAAGCTCAGCTTCAGTGTTTGGGGCCAAATCCCCAGGAACAGCAGCTCCCGTTAGTGAGGGGTGTGTGGCAGCAGGGCTCGGCTCTGCAGTTGTGGTCCCAGCTGCGATGGAGACCCAGCAGAGCTCCCCCTGCACTGCTCCTCCCTGCAACCTGCTCCTGCTCCATCCCTGCAGGGCTCAGCGTTGACCCGGGCTCGGCCGGGCTGTTGGGGCGCCGGGGGCCCCGCTCCAAGCAGCCCTTCATGGTGACATTTTTCCGGGCGAGCAGCAGCCCCGTGCGAGTCACACGGGCAGCCAGGGCGCCCAGGAGGAGGCAGCCCAAGAAGACGAACGACCTCCCGCACCCCAACAAGCTGCCGGGGATCTTTGGTAAGAGCAGGGGGGCAGCCCCCAGCACGGAGGGTAGGAGGGGGCCTGGCCAAAAGCACGAGGCTCTGCTCTTGCTGCCGTGAAGGGCTCTTCTCTTTGCGCCTTGCCCTTTCCGAAATCCCTCTGCCAGCCCTGGGGGGAGCACAGCGAGCAGTGGGGCCATTGGCAGATGGGGGGCACGGTGGGTCTGGGAGGGCACCCTTGGGGCAGCCTGCTTTTGTGGGGCTTTCTGGATGATGTTTTTTTTCATCATTGCCCTCATTTTGGAGCTGCCCCAGGAAGGCATCATGACCCTGGGGAGCCACTGGGGCAGGAGGGGAGCCCCAGCACTTGGGGCACTTGGGAACACCCCAGAGCTGTGAGCGGCACCAACTGGCACCTCCCCAGGCTGCATCCCCTCATCCCAGTGGTGGAGCAAAACCTCCAGCCTGCTCTGAAGCTTTTTCCCTCCTTTACAACAAGGAGGCTCCCTCGGAGTGACCCCAGCCACCCGGGCTGTGCAGCCCCAGGGTTTGGTGGTGCCGGGGGGCACCGAGCACTGACGCTGCCCGCCCTCTTCCCTGCAGATGACGTCCACGCCGCAGACAGTCGCCAGGTCTGCCGGAGGCACGAGCTCTACGTCAGCTTCCAGGACTTGGGCTGGCTGGTACGGACCCGCTCCCCCCGGGAAGAGCCACGGCCCCCACCCGGCCCCCGCGGTGATGGGCAGCGGTGGGAGCAGCGCAGCCGTGTGCCGGGACCTTATGGCAAACGAGCTGGCACAGCCTGAACCCCACAGTGACCCTGAACAGCTCTTCATGTGGTCCTAAAATCCAAATAAGCCCGGGGAGGTGGCACGGGGGGGTGCAGGTGCTGGAGGAAGGGGCTCAGCAAGCCCCCGGTGCCCCAGCACAAACCCTTTTCCTTGCAGGACTGGGTGATCGCCCCGCAGGGGTACTCAGCCTACTACTGCGAGGGGGAGTGCGCCTTCCCGCTGGACTCCTGCATGAACGCCACCAACCACGCCATCCTGCAGTCCCTGGTCAGTGCCGGGGCTGGGTGCTGGGGGGGGGCAGCTCCCAGCAAAGCGTCTGGGGGTGCGCAAAGAGCTCAGAGCACGAGGGCTCTGCAGGGGCGGCTCGGAGGCAGGACAGGGAGGGTTGGGCAGTGCTGGCGAGTCTCCACTGCCCGGTTTTCTGCCTGGCACGCTCCCACCCATGGGAAGCAGCGAGGATGGGGCACAAGGAGGTGATTTCCCTGGGGTTAGCACCCCCTGGCAGCTAGGGGGGATGCTCCAGGGGGGCCACCCAGTCCCGGACACCGGGAAGGGGCAGCGTCGTGCCCGGGCACCCTCCCTGTGCACAGGCTGCAGCCGAGCCCCGTGGCGTGAGGCTGCGGCACAGAGCCCAAGCGCTGGGCTCAGCATATTCCGAACAGGAAAGCTTTAATGCCCCATTTTCCCAAATCCACCCCGCATCGCAACCCGTGCTTTAATTTCTGGAATTTCCTGACCTGTGAGTGTTTGATTTCCCAATGGCAGAGTCACGCCGACTCTGGTGCTCGCGGTTAATTACAGGGAGTGCCGAGTCCTCGGCCGAGCCTTTGAAGGTGTCGCCTGGCGGGGTTCGTTTTTTTTTAATTTTTTTTTTGCATGAACGAAGCTGCCAGAGCCCCCCCGCCAGCTGCGGGCACCCACCCCTCACCTCCCAGCCCCGGGTTCTTCCCGAAACGGAGCCACTTGGGCGGACGTGAATCACCTGGCGCCCGGGGCCGGCCCTTCTGGGAAGCGCTGGGGACCAGGGCGAGCGCACCGGGAGCCGTGCCAGCCCGGCCAGTGCTGCAAATAGCAGGGTTTGACAGCAAAACACCGGACTTCCGAGCTGGGAGAGCTCAGCTGGCCCCGCAGTAAATGACTCGCACATGTGGGGCGAGGCCGGGGGGGCTGCGAGCGCTCGGCAGCCGATGAACCTCCCGGCACAGTGCGAGCATGGCACAGGGTGCCCCAGGCTCCTGAGGGGGTCCCAGGCTCTGTGTCTCGGTGCAGTGCAGAATTCGGGGGTGATGCTGAGCCCCAAAGGGGGGGCAGCCCTATTGCAAGCCTCCGTGCTGCCCCGAGGGGCTGCTTGCCTAGCGGAGTGTGAAAAGAGGCCAGGAATCCCAAATTGATGAAGGGGCTGCCCAGCCCGCACGGTGCCACGAGCCCCGATCCAATATAAACTGCAGCAAGGACTGCCAAGGGCTTAGAATAAATATTTTTCTGAAGCACTAGGAATAATCCCCCCATTCACCCGGGCTTTTTGCAGGTAAGAGCCGGGGCTCTTTGAAGCCTGCCCTGCGCTCAGGGCTCCTCTCCCCCCAGGTCCACCTGATGAAGCCCGAGGCCGTGCCCAAGGCGTGCTGCGCGCCCACCAAGCTCAGCGCCACCTCGGTCCTCTACTACGACAGCAACAACAACGTGATCCTCAAGAAGCACCGCAACATGGTGGTGAAGTCCTGCGGCTGCCACTGACCCGGCCCCGACACCTCCTGCGTGTGCGGGGGGCTCGCTCCCCGGGCTGGATCGTAGCAGAGCCCATCGGTAACAATACTGACACCCCCCCACCTCCCTCCCCTCCCTTCCCCTTCCCAGACGTGGATGTAAATAATATAAAACGTTTATTCTCTTCCCACACTTAATGAGAGCCATCCCTGCCATACATGCATATATAGAAGTATATATATATATATATAGGAAAGAGGATTTGTGGCTGGTGACGTGTCTGGCCCTGGCGGATGTGTTTTCCTCGGGCGCTGCTGGCTCAGAGGCTGCTGCAGCCTCCGGTGCTGGTGGGGGCAGATGGGGCTGGGGGGGCGAGGGCAGGGGAGGCAGCTCTGTGCCCGTGCACATTCAGCTAACCCAGCTCTAACCAGCGCCTCCACGTCCCTAAATGAAAACAGCGTCAGCCAACCCAGTAGCTGGCTGACTAACCCGCTCCTGTTTACTTAAAGTTCACAAAACTCAGCCAACGGGGGAAAAAAAAATCCATATTGAGCTACGACACTGTTATAAAATAAACGCCTAGTCTGGAAAATAAACACGTAGTTTCTCTTGCTGTTTGTTTTTTAATAAATGTCACGGCACAGCAGTGCTCTGTTCTGCAGACGGGATTTCGCAATGAAAAAATACTCACGATCAGCTAAAATTGTACCTTTTTGCTTGAAACGAAGCCCCGTGGAGGTGCTGAGACGCGGGCTGGGGCCGGGCTGCGTCTCCCTGCCTGGCTCAGCGGCTGCTTGTCGCGGGCTCGCAAGGGGCCCACGGCCACACGCTGCTATTTGCACGGTTATTTATTTGCTGTCTTCCAAAGGAAACGGCCTGGCCTGTTCCTCAGCTCAGGTACCTGAGGGACCTTGCATCACTAAACAAATAACGGGCCTGGTTTAGCCACACGCAAAGGAAAAAAAAAAAAAAGAGAGGAAGCCCAATATACCCAAATCACCCCCTTCCTGGTGTGTCTTTTCCAGTCCTTGTTCCCCCACTCTAAGAAATGCCCCCGGGACGGGACGGTGCTGGCCACGGGGCCGGGTGGCAGCAGGGACCCGTCTCCCCCCCGCTGCTGTGGGGGCAGGCTGCCCGGCACTGGTCCTGGCTCCGAACGCAGCAGCAATGGGATCAGCTCCGCTCTTCTCTCCCCGGCACGGGCAGCCTGCCCTGCCGCTTGGATTTAGGCACCAGATTCGAGATGAGGGCAAACATTTCAAAAGCAACGCCCATCCTCAGGCGGTGAGAATTCACCAGCTGGGGCAGGCCCTCGGTATTTTTAAAACTAGCTTTTATTTTTGTCAAACAGAGTCTTCACAAAGCTGATGGCAGGCTGACCCTGCCCCGTGGGGAGCACCAGGCGGCACAGGCGCGATTCAGCCAGGGTGGGCGCGTTGCTCTGGGCTCCCCGCAGCGCCGTCCGCAGGCACTTGGCGCCGAGCCTCGCAGGGAAAGTTGGGCAGAAGCACAGGGGCCGGGGGCCAGGACCCCCAGCCTCCCCCAGCGCCGGGGTCACACACACTCCCCGCAGTCAGAGATGATCACCTTCTGCTTCGGCTTCCCATCCTTGGTGCCCTGAGCCTTGAGGAGGAGGAGAGCAGGAATTAAGGGGAATTGAGGCACGAGGCTGCGGGCAGGGAGCGGGCACCACCCTGCTGGGAAACCAACCTCGATCTGCCGCACCACGTCCATGCCCTCCGTCACCTCGCCGAACACCACGTGCTTCCCGTCCAGCCAGTCTGTTTTATCGCACGTGATGAAGAACTGGGAGCCGTTGGTGTTGGGGCCAGAGTTTGCCATCGACAGCAGCCCTGTGATCACAAAGCACAACGTTACAGCCGGGGTGGGAGCAACGCGCTCTGCACGTGGGCCAGTACTTAACCAAAACCCATTCCCAGGCCCTGCAAAACCCTGCCAGTTTTAAGAGGGTCTGCAAGCATCAAAGGAGGAAAGTGATAGAGAGCATTAATCTCTTTTCAGTCGTGGCAGTAGGAAAGCTGTCTGGAGCTAAGCCCGCTTGCTTTTTGCTACTTGTCAAATCTTGTAGTTACACTGCAACATCCCTCCTCTAAAATCCAACAGGAAAGCAGCTTTGAAACTCTCCACGATACAATAGTGGAAACTAACGGTGCACGGACAGAGAGTGCTGCACTTCTGCCTGCTGAACGCCAGAGGCAGTCTGGCCGTGCTGGAGGCGTTTGGCACAGCCAGGACAAGCTGTCCCTACCCGGCCCCGTGTGCTTGAGAATGAAGTTTTCATCATCAAACTTCTTCCCGTAGATGGATTTGCCTCCGGTGCCGTTGTGGTTGGTGAAGTCCCCGGCCTGGCACATGAACTGGGGGATGATGCGGTGGAAGCTGCTCCCCTTGAAGCCGAAGCCTTTCTCGTGGGTGCAGAGGCAGCGGAAGTTTTCTGTTCGGGAGAAGGGGCAGAGGTGAGCACAGCACCACAGCCTCAGCACCCGAGCGGCCGACCCGCTCCTCACCTACGGTCATGGGCACCACGTCGGAGCGCAGGAGGATCTGGATCCGCCCGGCGGGTTTGTTTCCGATCTTGATGTCCATGTAGACCTGGGGGTTGGCCCGGGCCTTCTTTGCAGGAGGCTCACCCTGGGTAGGGGAAGAAAAGAAGCGGTGGTGCCCTGCTGCTCTGCCACCCGACGGCCAGCCCAGCCCCGCATCCCCAGCCGGCAGTGATGGTGCAGGCAGCAATAGCTCCGAAACTCCCCAGAGGCAACACAGGCAGCAGCAGTGAGCCCCAGGCCCCTAGGGGCTGCTGCAGGGCTGGTCAGAGACCTGTGTAAGTTTTTTGGGAACATGGGGGCTGCCTGGGGCCACCACTTGCTCCTCCTGGCTCCCACTTCGGGCAGCTGGCAGGACCCAGCTGGATGTGGCGATTCCCCAGACCCGTGACACACAGAGGGCACAGATGGCTCCAGCCATTCCTCCTACCTCCTGTGCCTCTTGTTTGGGTGCCTCCGTTCCTCCTTCCTCCGCGTTCTCCTCCAGAGTCTTCCCCGAGAACTTCTTCAGCCATTCATCATCCGACCAGACTGTGACAGCCGAGGAAATAGTTGGTGCAGGGTGACAAAGCCCACGGCCACGTGTGACACACGGCTCAGGGCTTGGTGTGGCTCTGGCAGCAGCGGGATCGCAGCCAGGGCACAGGAGCATGCAGCTGGCACAGCCAACCAGGGCAGTGGGCAAGTACCCCAACACATGAAGAAATAAGGGACTGAGCCAGCAATTCCTCCAGGTAAGGCAAGCCTGATGGCTTCTCGCTGCCAAACACCCCGTGCAGGCATTGCTGGGCACAGCCTGGGCCCCCTGCATGTTTTGGATGTGACCAGACATTCTGGTAGTGATGTCCAGCCCGGCATGTGTGCATGCATTTCATGTGCTCTGTTAGAGAGCGTGAGGGCAGCTGGAAGCACAGCCAACAGCACATCTGCCCGAGGGACCAGGGGATATTTTTGGTGATCAGGATGCTGCTCAGGCTGCCCCAATGCCTGGATGGGAGGCAGAGTGCTGGGAAAGCAGAAAGGCTGACGCACCAGACTCTGAACGTCCCTGGGGATTTCTCCTTGCCAGGGCACCAACTCACCCGGCCTGGATGATCCTTCTTTAATTCGCATTGGCTTGGCCAAGTTCACACGAATTGTCCTGCCGAAGAGCTCAGACTCATTCTGCAGAGGACAAAAGCAGAACAAAGCCCACCACAAGGTAAAAACTCACCAGAGCCCACAGATCCCTGCAGAGGCCAGAAGAAAACCGCTTGCTTTCTCTCCCTGCTTCCGAGCATCGGAGCGAGGGCCCCACAGCTTGGGATCTACACCAAGACCGCAGGCAGAGGTGGAGCAGGGAAGGGCACGATGGTGCTGGGCCTGATCCTGAGCAGCAGGGAGCCCGGCCCGTGGCACGCAGGGCCCACGCCGGGAGCATCGCCCTGCTCACATCCACGGAGAGCTGCTTTGGGCTCTGCCAGCCGCAGGGAGACCAGCACCGGGTGGTGCAGGAGCAGGCTCCGTACCATGTTGTCGATGGCTGCTGCAGCATCCTGCGGGAAAAGCAGAAGGGAATCGTTACAGACACTTCTTTTTCCCTCTAAAGGAAAGCCTCGGCACACACGTGCCCCTGCAGAACATCGCCAAAGGGCTGTTTTTCTATGCCCTGTATGCCCCAGGCTGTGAGAACCCACGGACCTCGCCGGGGCCGTATCTGAGGCAGGGTCTGGAAACACCTGAGGGGGTTTTCTCCCTGACCAACCCATCACAGCCGCCTGGGTAAGACCTTGCCCAGTGACACCAGTATTCGGGAGGGGAGAAAAGCCCCTGTGGGGGAGGCCTTGGGCAGATTATGGGACCGCAAAGGAACAGCACCGCGTGGTGCCCACCAAGCAGAAACCCACAGGGAGCGACCGAGCCTCAGCCCAAGGGAAACCCGGGAGCTGTAGGTGACAGAGGGGACCCCCGGGCCTGCCATGACAGCAGCACCCAGCCCCGGACCCCGCGGGAAGGGGACGTGTCCCCAGGCTCCGCCGCCCCCTCTCCTCTCACCTCCGCCAGCTCGAACTCCACGAAGGCGAAGCCGCGGTGCTTCTCTGCGGACACAGAGCGCTCAGGGGGCGGCCGCCCAGCCTGCGGGACGCCCCCCCCCCGAGCCCCGGCACGCACCGGTCTCGTAGTCCAGCGGGATCTGGATGTCGGTGATGTCGCCGAAGGGGATGAAGGCGGCGTGCAGCACCTTCTCGTCCACCTCCTCCGCCAGCCCCCCTGCGGCCGGCACCGCGTTAAAGCCGAGACGCCCCCAATGCCCCCACAGGACCCCCGCAGCCCCAAACAGCCCCGCACAAGCCCCCCCACAGCCCCACGCACCCACATACAGCACCCGCTTGGTGGCCGCCATTTTCCCCGCACCGCCCCGGAACCCTGAGGCGGCTCCGCCCCAGCGAGGGGCGGCCGCGGCCATTTCCCGGCAGCGGGGCCCGAGCGGGGCCTCCCCTGGGCACCCAGAACGGCCCCGGGCCGGGTACCGGGGAATGAGGGGAGCCGTGAGCCCAGCACATCCAGCCAAAAGTGTAAAACACCCCGAACGGCAAAGCGTTGCCTCGCCTGCATGCTCGGAGCAGGCACCCAACCGCTTCGGTTTCTCTTCAAGATCACCCCTGAGGCCTTCCATTAGGTCCCCTGTTATTTTTGTGTCCCAGACCCCAATCAACCCCAACATAATAACCCACAGTATAATTTTAATAGCTGTTTGAGAATAGTGATTGCCCCATGAGCAAATTGAGTAACTCAGATCACCACTTCAATGCATCCACTACACGACAACTGTCTCCCCCTTTAATTTTATTAGTCTACATCCTATTTATTAACCAAATCCAGGGAAAATAGGACAACACAGTGTAAGTTTTTATTCCTTTATTGATAAATGCTTTCCAGACTTTCCAAAGTGGATGATTGTTCAGTTAAAACCAAAACCACAAGATACTTTTGATCAGAAATCCTCAGTGTCCTGGCTTAGAAAAGGCAAAGGAGAACTGTTCTGGCCACAGAGGAGAAGCTTGCAA